TCAAGCTACATTTACAGTAAATTTGACATATCTCTAAGGTTACATTTTTTAGACATTGATATCTTCACAATATTTTAAACAATCAATGGCATATATTTTGACAACGCTTGAAATGTCAAATTTGATGTACAACTAATTTAATCCGTATCCAAGAGTAATATTATTTGGACCATGCTGTATATACATAAATGTTGACATATTGATTTACACTAATGTGAATTGATAGATTTTGGAACATTGATCTTGACGACACCATTTTCAATAAACGGCCAAATTTTTGACACATGGGATGGTGTCAATCAAGGTATACAATTTGTGTTTATGAGTAGTTTAATCCATATTATTTATTAGGTGTAGTGCTTAGCACCTATTTAGGCAACATAAGTGTCATTCTAACATGTTGTCACTTAAATTAGTGCCAAATAAGATTATCTTATCAAATGTCTTGCAGGAACAATCTAAGCAAAGTTTTCTAAAAAAATATAATGTGCTTATATTTGGCTCATATTTATAAACTGTTTATAAATAATCATGTCATTTTTTATCCACACACTATAAAAAAAATACAAGTATTATCCAGTTATTGTAACTCATTTCTATCTATTTGTAAATTTAAATTGTTTATAAACATTGTCAAAAGTCAAATTATTTTCATATACATATAGTGCGGGATCCACAAGTACTATTCATTTATCCATAATTTATTTCTATTTATTTAAAAACATACATATTTATAAATCCTTGCCAAATATATGCTAATAAATAATTTTAAAAATTTTCAACTTTGTCTCGTTTGACAAAAAAGCCTATATTCTTTGAAGTTTGTGAAAAAAATAAGAATAATGGACCAAAAACGCCCGTCAATTTTACCTAATTTGACCAGAATGCTTAGATTGTTGAAATTTTTCAAAATGGAAGGAGAATTTGAGGACACTTTTAAAGAGAGAATGTTAAAGAAGTTTAAATATATTAAAACCATATTTCAATTATAATGACGGTACTCAAATTTTATTTATTTTCACACTTACGTCTCTAAATTTTTTTGGCGTATTTTTATCTTTAATCTTCAATTAATTGACAGTTTTGATTCCGACATGATGGTTACCGTCCAAATATTTTGTTAATGTGGATAAAACATGTTGTCTAACCATGTATTTTTTTTATTTTTTTGTTTATTTAAAAATATATATATTAAGGGCTATAAGTTTTTTTACTCGCACTTAAGAAATTACCGTCATCACGGATAAGATGTGGTAAATAATAGAAAATTGAGAATAAAAAATACAATGAAAAAAGTTAGGAACCTTTTATTTATTTTGTTGTAAGTAGTGGAGAGTACAGAACTTCAAATAACTTGAAATATTGGGGAAAAAAAATTTATTTTAAATTTATTTTTTTATTTTGGGTTAATCGATAGTACTAACTGAATAATAACTTAACTCCTTTTTTCTTTAAATAATGTCTAGTTATTAAAAGTTATTAAAAACAAAGACTGTCTATCCCAACTCATCCATAGAGCAGACAACATAACAATCATCAAATTCACGCAAACCCACCAATGGAAAAAAGCTATTATCTTTCTAATTTTGGAATAGCTTATTAATTAATATCATTTTTTTTGGTTTTCCATGAAGTAGCTAGGACTCCATATCAATAATTTATTATTTGAATTGACTATACATTAATGTACCTCCAATTAAAAAGAGATTATACGTATCACCATGAGCATCGATTCACCAACTTCTATCACTCATAAGAAAATTATAATTTAGATTGACATCTATGTTCACATCATGATGCACAAAAACGTATCCTGAAATTTTTTCTGATATATTAATTACTAAGTCACATTGTGACTATGCGCAAAAAAACGTATCTTGTATTTTTTTTCTTATATATTAATATGTTGGTACATCACTAACGATATTTTGCATCCCATTTTACATTTAATGTGACTAAGCCACATTGTAACATTAGGGTGAACGTTTCTTTTTCTCAACCAATTGAATCAAATCAGAATTGGCCTGTTCAAGTTCAACCTTGAATGGTTTTAGGTCTTAAAATTGAGAACTGCACCATTGTGGTTCATTTCTTGATTTCAACTACAAATTTAATTTCAAAACTATTTTATAGTGTAACCGTTGAACTAAATTAGATGAATATACATGAATTGATATGCATTCGCAATAATCAACACCCTTTTTTGCTTGAAATAATAAGTATGAAAGTGAAATTACAAAATTTAGTCAACAATTTGTACTTGATATATA